TGCTGCCCTGCCCATCTGCTCTGCTCCGAATCGGACCAACCCCAGGACACACAGTGACGGAGTCAGGATGCCTTTGGGGCTGGGAGGAGGTGGGGACACGTCAGCTCTTATTCTGCAGCAGCAAGCCTGGCCCAGGTGCTGTAAGTGCCAGTGGCCGTGGGGACCTTGCAGCAGATGGAGAGGACACTCACCACGGGGCAGAGCTCTGACGCTGTTTTAGCACTACTTGGCAGGCTTCGTTGATGGGGACTAAGCAGGCCGGCCTCATCTATACACAGCCACCAACTGTGGACACCACACAACCGCCTCGCCTGCCCTTGAAGGCAGGGTACATAAAACATATTACCTGGCCCTGGCACTGCAGACAAAATCCATATATTTTGATGTCAACTGTCGCTTTGGTAGGACATCAGACACATCCCCAAGCGCCATCCACAAGCAGAAGTAGCTTGCTCTTTGAAAAACAGGCCAGATCTTCCTGTTCTGTGCCACTTCACTTTTTTTCAGTTTTGCCTTAAGTTCCTTCATGCCACCTGCGCACAGGCTACATGACAAGTGCTCCATGCACCAAAGCCCTCTGTGGCAGCCAAGCCAAACCTCCTCGAGCTGTGCCCCAGTGTTCACCCTCCTCTGCCACAATCTGCATCCACTAAGACAGCAGGGATGAAGCAAGATCACTGTATGTAGCTGCACCTCTCCAAAACAAGGGCAATCTGATCTTCCTTCCTCGTTCGTTATGCTGTTTTCTAGGGCAGAGAGGGACTACACCTTGTTCCTACAGACTCCTGGATGCAGTGCCTCATTGCTTCTGCTTTTTCAGGTGAACCACATCCCCATTTTCATCAGCAGACCCAGGCACAGTAGTGGTCTCCTGCGCCTGCACTAAGCACCCCCTTGGCAGCATCTCCCTGTGCACAGCACTGAGCATTTGGGGAAACAGGTATCAGTTCTGGCCCCAGGCGTGGGTTCATCATGATCCTCACTGTGTTTTCACACCATTTTCTCACTTGCAACAGCCCAAAGAGGGGCATAAAAATTTGCCAGGCCCTGGAGGGGGTAGTTTGTACTGACTGCGTGGTGGGGTCACCACACAGGGCAGTGAGGGTCAGCATACCCCAACCCATTCACACTGACAGAAAAGCCAGCCCCAGCAGGGGAAATGAACGGATGGATAACCACCTGCTGAAGAGGAAAATGCTGAGACAACTAGGTGCTATTGGCAATTCGGATCCTTTCTTTGATCTCAGCTGTATCTCTTTACTGTGTATAGAAAGCAAAGAGAAGAACAATGACCCTTTCTTCTAAGCCAGTGACTCTCTCAAATTCATTTTCCTGCTCTGCAATGGGAACAGAGGATCGAACCCCAGCCCGTGTTAATGAAAAAACAAACAAAAGCAGGAGTTCATTAGTGATGAAAGTTGCATTTCCCTCCAATTATTTATTTGCTTTTGCCTCTGAAGAGCCTATCTATGCATTGCATAGGAGCCTGTTGGAAGCACCTCCAGTAAAAGTCTTTGGTCAATTTGTTTAAACTCTTATCACAACAAACAGCAGGATTAAGCAGCGTGTCATCCACTTGGCCTCATCACCATCTCCTCACTTGTTCCCATGTCAAAATCTGGAGAAACTCATCACCCTCCCAGTTTGTCCCAGAGTTCAGCAGGTTCACGGCCTGTTAGTCCATGGCTAAAAACAAGTTTCAGAAGAAAGGCCACGGGAGGATGATTCACCTGCAGCCCTCCAAAAACTATTTGAGTGAGCACAGATACAGCCCTTAGAAGTATTCTTGGCTGTCAGTCCTGAACTCAGAGAGGATTTCCAGGATCTGAGGTGCTGAAGTGACTTACGCTGAACCTTTTAGTTCTTCATTACCTACTCCACTCCTGCAAGTCACTTGGCCTTCAGGCAAAATCAGAATCACAGAATGACAGAATCACATGGGGTTGGAAGGGACCTCTGGAGATCATCTAGTCCAACCCCCTGCCAAAGCAGGTCCACCCAGAGCAGGTTGCACAGGAACGTATCCAGGCAGGTTTTTAATGTCTCCAGAGATGGAGACTCCACCACCTCTCTGGGCAGCCTGTTCCAGAGCTCTGCCACCCTCAGAGCAAAGAAGTTCCTCCTCATGTTTAGGTGGAGCTTCTTATATTTAAGCTTGTGCCCATTTCCTCTTGTCCTGTCACTGGGCACCACTGAAAAAAGACTGGCCCCATCCTCTTGACACCCTCCCTATCACTTGTTCCACGCTAGTCCTGCAAACACCTTGGCATGGCTGCCAAAAGGGTCATGACACCAGCCAGCCCAAGGAACTGCAATTTCAGCATCCTTCTAGCCCGTTACTGTTTCAAGGTGCTCATTGAACAATGAAGGTCCAAAGTACCTCTGTGTGATTTGGTAGCCATCGACAGCATACACTGGCCCGTTATTTTGCCTCTATCAACAGACAAATCCACTTTAGAAGCTCTCTAGATCTACAAGCTCTGCATCTCTGCCTATGGAAAGTACCTTTGCATTATTACCATCACCCTGCATCCCCCTCATTATTTATGCCTGGTGGTACGCTATGCACTCACTATAAGCCTTTGCACGTCTGGGAGTCCCTAGTGCACCCAGGGCATCTGTGTGCATTATTTTAGGCCTGGAAAGAACCGAGTGACATGGGCTTTTTTTTTTTTTTTTTTTGGCACGGCAGAAGCTGTACCAGCCAGAGCTGCATCATTAACAGAGCACTGACTAACAAGCAAGGCACTCTGAAGGCACTGATTATGTCAAAGAAATCACAAACCTTTCTTGATTTTTCTATCACATCCTCTACACCATGCACGATAGAGAGACATGAGGAGTCATACAAAGTGCAGCCAGATCTGCTGCTTGTAGTATCCCAGGGAAAGGTGATGGGTAAAGGTATCAGATGGAGCTTGGGACCTACCGCTTTCCATACTGCTGCAGACCATCTGTGCCATTCCACCTCTGTGAGAGAGAGGTCACCAGGGTTCTTAGTGTCCCCCAAAATTAATGACATGACTGAAAAGACGACTTGGGTCCCCGCTAGCTCTGTGCTTTCTCTCTCATTTCCCCTCAGGTTTCCTGAAAGCTGAACAGGGCAGCCAGCTAAATTTGTACTGGGTCTTTCCCCAAGTACATCGCCGTGCCCTGTGCTATGCAGGAGAGGACAGGGCTTGTCCAGACAACCTGAGAGGCTGCAACAGGGTTCAGCACACACACCAGTATTGCTAAGGCCAGCCTTTGTGGGGATGGAGGGTTTCATGGTGTGCAGCCACACGGCTCCTCCACAAACCATCCCGCTTTCCTGAGCTCCTCTGGATGGGCATCAGCCCGGGACTGCAGGCAGAAATACAAACTCTCTGCTAAATTCCCCTTTCAAGGTAAAGGCATGGGATGACTGCTGAGGGGTGAACAATGTTTTCCAGCTCGGAAACCACACTTCCTCCCCCTGCACATTAGGGCTACCACCATTCCCCAGTGAACACCTTAAAAACTTGGGTTTCTCAGCGCCTGCCAACCTCCCCTCGTGGCGCTGACTGCAGGGGGCTGGGGCACAGCTCGCCCAGCAAACCAACAGCACCAGGGAAAGGCTGCTACTCCTGACCCTTGTTTGCTTTCAGGGATGCCAAGATGGGGTGGGAATGACACTGCATTTTCCTTTTCTGGAGCGACCATGACTTAGCTCAGGCGCCACAGGTCTACGGAGAGGACAAAGTCGGTCTGTTTTGTGGTGGGCGCCCTGCCAGGCTCACCCTGCCCACGGCTGCTGCAATGCCCGGCTTCCCCTGCCCAGGGGGATGAAGCAACCCCACGCCTCCTTCCCCAGCCCCAAACCCACTCCCCAGAGAGACGGAATTTGAGCAGACTAAATACTTGATATTCGCCTTTTTGCAAGACTGGTGTTTTCATCCAAGGCTAAGAATTTCATAGAGAATAATAGTAAGGCAAAAACTTTGCAAACATTTGGACTATTTACCAGGAGCATCTCCATACATAATTGCATTCCCATGCCAGCCTGGGAGCCTTCCCATCACACAGGCAGCAGGAAGCTCAGGTAAGGCTGCCTGGTATCACCTCTTCAGCATCTCCAATGACCACATGATTATTAATCACTAATGTCAACCACGTTAATATTCCAAGACCATTGCACACCTGTTCCCTAGCACCATCTGGAGGCAAACTCTGTCCTTCACCCAATTTAGTGGAAACGGTGCCTGCAGATTGAGGAGAACAAACGGCTCTAACTACCCTGGGTCAAACATTCAGCAAAGATTCAGGTGTTTGCTGTTCTGAATACACCTTGAAAGAGAGACAAATTATTCAAGTTTGGTTGTTTTCTGCAGGCCAAAAACTGTTTAAGAACATGTGTTTAAACTTAAAAAGCTAACTCCAGGCAAAAAGCAGCACACCATAGCTGTTCTGCTAAATACGGCAAAAAAAAGAAACTGAGGATGAAAATATAGAGGAAACCAAGAGTTTAAGATGGGCATCATTTACATTACAAGCTTTTGCTCCCCCACTTCCCTCCCTACCCCTATCTGGGAGCTGGTAGCTTCTCTATCTACATCCTCCTCAAGACAGGAGAAAAACCCAAACCCTTGCCTTGCAGTCCTACACCCCAAAAGGCTCACATCAGATTAATTCAGAATAGGGCATTACAAACCATTTTCCAAAGGGACAACTGGTAAGATGCTTTAACTGGGAAGACAGGAGGGAGTCTAATCTGAAAAATCACATAGGCACCTGAGACATAGAAGACACATGCTCAAATCTTAAAACCAAATACTCACACCATGGACTAGTATGATGTGTGATTTTCAACCTGAGGTGCCCATGGATTAATTTAATACTTGTGTATTTTCTTTACTGAGATAGTAAAGCTTCCCCTAAAGAGAAAAAGCGTCTGCTTCCCTAGTGGCCCTCAGAAAACTGAGTGTCATATGGAACTCACCTCATTCATTGCTGGTTTACAGATTCCAGAGCAAAACTCCACCTTAAGACAAGATGTGTGTTGGTTTTATTTATTATGCTATAAATAATAGCTTCTACAATATTATAAATATCAGTTTCTCAGTCTATAGCCGAAGAAAGTTACGAAGTTTGGGAAATACTTTCAGTGCATTCTGTGTAGTCACTTCTATAACTTCTTCAACTGGAATTTCTTTAATTTTGGCAATATATTCTGCAGCAACGTAAATATTTTTTGGTTCATTTCTCACCTGAAAAAAAAACACCAGACAAAATTACAGATGCCTGCAGATGACAAGTGTTTCGGACTCAGTATGTACTGACACAACTTCAATCAAATTGTGGCATCCCTGACAGAGAAATTACATGTATCTATTCTTCTTGGTTTACAGTTGCACTCAACGATCTTAAGGGTCTTTTCCAACCTAAATGATTCTTGGATTATTTTCCCTTTTACCCATTTCTGGAATTTCTTCTCCTTTCCCAGCCTTCAGAACACAGTTCATCTCGAAGTTTTCACTTGGCAACCTCATTCATCCCTTGTCCGTGCTTACACTACTCCACCTTCCAATGCCAGTGTCTAACCTCTGTAAGGGCTGGGTTTAGATACACTTTCACAGTAGTCCCTCTCCCCCACATTTACCTGTTTTTCGGGCCCCAGAGCAGGAGAGTCAGTTTCTAAGCACATATTTTCCAGAGGTAACAGTTTCACAAGCTTCTGCTTCTTGAAGAAAAGAAGACAGCTATTAAACGCTTTATGCACTTAGACCTGTGGGAAATAAATGTATGAAGGGATGATATCCCTTGCATTTAAAAGCAATGTTGAAAGACTTTGTTGATAAAATGCAGACAGCGGCAGCAATTTCAGAATGGAAGCAAGAATACCAGGAGCTGCTCAAGAAGTCCCTTCAGATTAGGATTATCTTGTTGAATCCATTGTTATTTATTAAATCATGTAGTTATATTGCACAAAATACCCTATATTTAGAGTTGCCAATGCAATTTTAATTTGCTATTTTTCTGTATATATACTTGTATATCTTTTTGCATCTCTGCTTTTACCCCTCAACCTCAGTTTGCTTTTGTTCTCCAGGTTCCTAACCTCGTCCCCATCTATATCCATCCCTCACACCCCCTCCACTTGAATTAAGCCTTTTCCTTTCTTGCCTTTCCTGAGCTTATCACAGAAAGTGATGATGGTGCAGGATGGAAACAGACTGCTACCCCAAAATAAGAAGTTAGCATAGCTTGTGGCAGCCCAGGGCAGAAATTAAGAGAGCAGAAATTAAGATACCTTGCGGTAATCACAATTTTTCAAAGGTCTGTAACGTAGCCAATTGTGAGCAGATTTCCTTTTGTATAGAAAGTACCATAGCAGGGAGATAGAAACTAGTACTTTTCCACGTATGTCCCTACTCTAAAACAGTACAGTGAGAAAAGCTTCCAAAGAAGAGTTCACCAGAAATCACATTAAAATGAGAAAAAAAAAAAGCCTGTTTTCTTAACCCTTGTTTCTCAGGAATAGCTGAACTGTTTTAGCCAAAATTTCCCCCCAAAAGTCTAGTTAAGGCAAAAGCCCCAGGTAGAAATTTAGCCAAAAAAAAAAAGTGCAATGCTGTAAGCAACTGAAATGCCTATTGAGAAGTGTCAGGTGACAGCAACCGTATGCAAGTACTGCTAGTCCCACTTCAAAGATTAGAACAGCAGCATATTCTTGAGCTGCACAGCAAAACCAGTCAGGTTTGCCATCACGATAAGCTGTCAGCTATCATCTGCAACCCACAAGCACCAAGAAGCAGCAACACGCCTTTAAAGGTTACCTGTTCACTCCTTATAATGGAAGGAGGAATGGAGAAGAAGTATCCAGCTTTCACCCCTTCCATCGCTACAGACGGCTTCCCATCAAATGCGTGGAGCAACACCTTCGTAGCACCTCAGAGAAAAGAAGTAAACCAAATCATTAGCAGCACTTACAGTAGGTCTGTGGTGTCACCTTCTAATGAGACCTCGGTCCCACACAGAATGAATACAGAATCCCTGCACCAGTCCTCCCAAGTTTCATGTACACAAACTGATGTGAGGACACGGCACAACTGAAGAAATTCTGTTGACAAAAGCCATGACAGAGAAAATGCATTAATAACATACCTTGTTCCTTTAAGAGATTAATCGTTGGTCTTCCAGCTGAGCGGGAATGAACATTTCTGCACAACAAGGAGAGGCCCAACATTAGGAAATTCAGCAAAACATTTTTTTTTGTACAGTCTAACAGAAGCACGTGAAGAAAATAACTAATCTGTATTATACCTTTTATCAGGAAAAAGAACCTAGAGCCATATATATGAATAATTTTAGCTACAGTGAAGATATAGCAACAACATAGCAAGGACAGGACACAGAAGACCACTGTACTCAAGTGCAAACATAGATAAAATTCTATAATTAAATCTCAGACTGTAGACTGACGGGACACTAACGCGCATTTAATCCATGTAAGAAAAGTTCTGTGAACTCTTAGTAACTGTAAATCCTGGGGAGTACTTCCACATATTACTGAGATCTGGGAAATTCTCCTACTAGCATAAACAAAACCTACAAAGGCAAATCCAGTCTTCTTGCTAACTCAATCTGCTTGATCAAAACCTGTCTTTGTCCTTCCTTCTGTTCATCCGTGCCAGCAAATCTGGGAGTGAAATCTAGTCCAACCTACAGTACAAGAAGAGAAGTAAAAAAATTTTACAGGACTAATGTTTGATTAAGCCACAATACCATACATAAAGACAAAAAAATGCTTCAAAATTGCAAGGCATTTGAAATATATATACTAGAGACTGTAATTAAAATGAGCTCAACTGTAGCTTAACTCAGAAGGAATCCATTCTTAACTATAAGCTTTTCAACTATGAAAGCTTTTATGGGCAGACAGTTACTAACAAGTGTATTTAACATTTTAATCTGGAACTGCTTTTCTGGGGTTTTATATTCTATTGACTATTATTTCAGAGTTAAGTCTCAATTCTGGATTTCTAATACAAGACCTGAACCTGTAACTTTAGTCCTACCTCTAGCAAAAATTGCCCATTAATTCTATACTTTTTTGATTTAAACGTGATCAGACAAAATTTAAAGTTTGGTAAAGCCCCATTCACAGTTACACCAACCAAAGTCCTTGATACACAGTGCAAGAACAACATGGCAAATTTAGCTACAAAGCTCTGCCAATAACCATTTTTTCCGTGGCCAGTGCAGAACCAGCCATAAGTCCCTCCAGTACGAATACACAAAAGAGGCAGACTCTACCTTAAAGCTTCCAAAATTCAATTAGTTTTTAAACAAATATAAGACAGGAGACAACACACGAATACAGACAGATGAGACATCACACAAAAAAAGGACTGTACAAGTCAGTGAGGTCCACTGAAATTGTAACTTAGCCTAAATTTGTCAGGGAAGAAGGCAGGAAGGATCTGATGAGGATAACAATGTGACTTGACACTTCACTGTGCCAGAGAATAGGTCAAAAGGTGTTGGGGTATAAGACAATACAGCGTAATTATGCAATTATTCCTACTAAATCCACCAGCATAAATGCTATCTATTTCCTAATGATGATAATGAAGAGAAAGAGAGAATCAGGCAAATCTGCGATGGAAAGCACATTAAGAGTTCACTAAATTTATTCACTAAGTTTTTGTAATTCTGGTGACGTATACTACCGAAGCCATAGACATTTAAACAAGTTATAGAATTCTACTTACTTCTCCTATCCCCACCAATTTATCTTTGTAGAGTTCTATGAGCGGCAATGCAGCATCCAGATCCTGGAAGAACAAACTAAAGATGCAACTCTCACTTCCCTTACAAGATGGAACGGGTATAAACTCGGCATTATGATTAAATTGGAATTTCCTTCATCGTTCTTGAATTCTGTACCTTAAAACTTGCCATTACTGTGAGCTTTGGGGTCAGACAGATTATAGAAACCTGCAGGATTTCCCTTCTTTGGTTAATGACCCTTCATTTCAAGTTATCTTTCCACGGAAGCAGAAGAGGTGATTAAAACAAGGCCCATAAAAAGCTTGGCAATGTTAAAAGGCTGCAGACAGCTCTCCAAGTTTTTCAGGCTAAGGGCACAAAGGGTCACCTTCCACTTCCCATCTGGGAAGGGACATCTGCCAACACACACCTGGGCTGCTGGCTGCGAGCAGCTAGCAAAGGGACATCTGCCAACACACACCTGGGCTGCTGGCTGCGAGCAAAGCACTCGCTTGGGATTGTGAAAACCGTTTCACTGCAGTACCACGGCCAGATGAGGTCCAGTGAGCAATTCTACTTTAGGACTGACGCGGACAAACGTGGATGTGCGAAGAGACCCTGGGATTTGGTCCGCTGGGTGCCCCGCGTTACAGGAGGGCAGGAAAATCACAGGGACGATCTGAAGCTCAATCAGGCAGAGCAGAGCATCCCGGCGCCCGCTCCCCAGCAGCGTTTCACAGCTGGGCTCCTCTAACTTCCCCGTGTTTGTTTTACCTCCAAGGTAACACTGCGCGGCTCCTCCGGAGAGACCTCTTGGAGGGGGTGAACTCCCAGGCAGGGCAAAACAAACCCCGGGAATCTGGACACGGAACAGGGAGCGGGAAAAAACACAGAGAAAACAAGTTTAAAAGTCACAAAGAACGGCCGGCCCGACCAAGGATGGGGACGGCGCGTCCCCCCACACCAGCTCCCGCCGGGACAGGGGTGGGGAAGGGGGTCCCGGAGTCCTCGCACCTCTCGGAGAGCGCCACGACGCTGCGGAACTCCCCGGCCCGCTCCGACACCACCACCAGCGCCGACACCGCCGCCTGCGGCAGACACAAACCCCCGCCCCGCTGAGGCCGGGCGGTGGGGCCGGGGAGGAGCGGGGGAGAGAGGGTCCCCGCCGGCCGCCTCACCTGCTCCGCCGCCCGCACCACGGCCGCCACGTCCTGCAAGAGACACGCGCCGCCTTAGAGCCGAACCCAGCCGAACCGAGCCGAGCCGAGCCGAGCCACTAACCACCCCCTCGCGCCCTTCCGCCCCTCACCGCCTGGAAGCAGGGCGCGGCGAGGTGGCAGTGGCAGTCCCCCGGCCCCATCGCCGCCGCCGCCATGCCGCGCCCCGGCCTGAGGGGAAGAGGCGGGGACATGGCGGGTTCTACTTCCGGGCCGGCATTTTCCCTACGTCCGAGGCGGGAAATGGCTGCTGGCCCGGCATCGCCGTTGTTGCCGCCGCCGCCGGGGGAGGCGGGCGCGGAGCCGCCACCGCCGCTCAGCCCTGCCGCCGCCGCCGGCCGGCGGGACCCGCGGGTGCGGTGCTGCTCGCGGCGCAGCCTGAGCGAGGTGCTGGCGCTCTGCGCCCCCTTCGTGCGGGCCCTGGCTCAGGGACAGCCGGGCGGGCCCGCCGCCGAGGGAGACGCGCTCTGGGTGAGGCTGAGGGGGGAGCGGGGAGGCGGTTGTGCCCACAGGCCCGGCCCGGAGCTGAGGCGTCCCGTCCCCTGAGGCGGCCGAGCCCTGAGGCAGGAGGGGGCCTGTCCAGGTGCAGCTGTGTTGCGCCTGCGGCTGAGGGATGGATGGCGGCTCAAGCTCTCCCGCGTCTTGCCGAACTTCGAAA